AACAACAAAATCCAGAAAAAACGCATGTCAAAAATGTTATAAATTGATTTGCATTTTAATGAGGGAAATAAGTATTTGACCCCTCTGCAAAACATGACTTAATACTTGGTGGCAAAACCCTTGTTGGTAATCACAGAGGTCAGACGTTCCTTGTAGTTGGCCACCAGGTTTGCACACATCTCAGGAGGGATTTTGTCCCACTTCTCTTCGCAGATCTTCTCCAAGTCATTAAGGTTTCGAGGCTGACGTTTGGCAACTCGAACCTTCAGCTCCCTCCACAGATTTTCTATGGGATTAAGGTCTGGAGAGTGACTAGGCCACTCCAGGACCTTAATGTGCTTCTTCTTGAGGCACTCCTTTGTTGCCTTGGCCGTGTGTTTTGGGTCATTGTCATGCTGGAATACCCATGCACGACCCATTTTCAATGCCCTGGCTGAGGGAAGAAGGTTCTCACCCAAGATTTGACGGTACATGGCCCCGTCCACTGTCCCTTTGATGCGGTGAAGTTTTCCTGTCCCTTTAGCATAAAAACACCCCCAAAGCAATGTTTCCACCTCCATGTTTGACTGTGGGGATGGTGTTCTTAGGGTCATAGACAGCATTCCTCCTCCTCCGAACACGGCGAGTTGAGTTGATGCCAAAGAGCTCCATTTTGGTCTCATCTGACCACAACACTTTCACCCAGTTGTCCTCTGAATCATTCAGATGTTCATTGGCAAACTTCAGACGGGCATGTATGTGCTTTCTTGAGCAGGGGAGCATTGTGGGTGCTGCAGGATTTCAGTCCTTCATGGCATAGTGTTACCAATTGTTTTATTGGTGACTATGGTCCCAGCTGCCTTGAGATCATTGACAAGATCCTCCCGTGTAGTTCTGGGCTGATTCCTCACCATTCTCATAATCATTGCAACTCCACGAGGTGAGATCTTGCATGGAGCCCCAGGCCGAGGGAGATTGACAGTTCTTTTGTGTTTCTTCCATTTGCGAATAATTTCACCAACTGTTGTCACCTTCTTACCAACCTGCTGGACAATGGTCTTGTAGCCCATTCCAGCCTTGTGTAGGTCTACAATCTTGTCCCTGACATCCTTGGAGATCTCTTTGGTCTTGACCGTGGTGGAGAGTTTGGAATCTAAATTTTGATTTAAAGCTTTCGTGACTGCAGTAATTCATATGCTTAGTTCTTTCGGTAAAGTCACTTTGAAGGGAAACAACAAAATATATATATAAAACAATAAAATGTTTTATATATATTTTATTATTTTGTTGTTTCCCTTCAACGTGACTTCTACCGGAAGAACTAAGAATATAGTTTGGAATCTGTTTGATTGATTGCTTCTGTGGACAGGTGTCTTTTATACAGGTAACAAGCTGAGATTAGGAGCACTCCCTTTAAGAGTGTTCCTAATCTCAGCTCGTTACCTGTATAAAAGACACCTGGGAGCTAGAAAACTTTATGATTGAGAGGGGGTCAAATACTTATTTCCCTTATTAAAATGCAAATCAATTTATACCATTTTTGACATGCGTTTTTCTGGATTTAGTTGTTATTCTGTCTCTCACTGTTCAAATAAACCTACCATTAAAATTATAGACTGATAATTTCTTTGTCAGTAGGCAAACGTACAAAATCAGCAGGGGATCAAATACTTTTTTCCCTCACTGTATATAGCTCAGTGGGCCTTACCTGGTGAAATAAAAAAATATAGTTCATAGTTTAATTGGCCAGTAATATATAGAGGACTGCAAAGCATGGTTAGGATGAGGGGGGGGCGAATCGGGTGCTGGCTGCATTATTTGTATAGTACAGTATGTGGTTCTTTGTCGTTCTCTCATCAAGAGTCAGCGAATTCCATTCTCGTTGCAAGTGGTAAATTATTATTCATGAGAATGATGATCTGGACATCACTTAGAGGATAACCTGTCAAAGTTTAATTCGGCTCGTCTATTCAAAACCATAATAAGACCATCAAGTAAAAATCTAGCTTACAGCACCCTCTAATTACGCGACGTTAATGAACTAAGATTAAGTCAGACATCAGTAATTTATCCTGAAGACAAATGGAAAAAAAGTCTTTACACATTACATAAAATATCTCTGTAAGCAAGCACCTCTTGAAGCCAGGCACAGCACATCATGGGGTGATGTGGCCGTACTGAACACAACTGAATACCGTTCTTTCCCTAGTGCTGATTTGTACAGGGTACTCATTTTAGGCCAAGTCTGCATAGAGGAAGCGGAGGGTTGGTGACATACCAATAGCCCCTGGACAAGAAACAGGAGATTTGAACATTATGTTTTTGGCACTTTAAGTCGTTGGTCTTGGGTTTCGGATTTTACAAAAGATAATTCCAGCAAATTTCGCTTCAGGTAAAGGAATTGCACCTTGAAATTCTGGCTCCTCATTCTGTGTCGGTCATGGAAGTTGACTGACCGACCATACTTCATTCCTCTGGTCAGTACAGGTTGGTGAAGGGTATGCTGGACTGCATAGTATGCTTAAAAAAATAATAGCACACACTGTGCTATATATATAAAACATGCAGCAGTCATGGGAAATCAATAAGAGCAATGTCAGCAAAATAACTAATAAATCACGACGTTTCGATAGCAACACAAGCCATCGTCTTCAGATGAAACAACACAGCAGGCGGACTGCTGAGGCAGGAGGAAATGTAGCGAGAGAGCCACCGGGAAGCCAGAGGCCACACGCCTGTGGTGGGTGTAACCCAAGGGCAAGTGGGCGGGGCTAGGGATGGACGTTGCAAGTTGCATTACATTTCTAAGTTTGCTAAGTTTGATGCTTTTTTTTGTCAACGGCTTTACTTCACTTGACTCCGATGTTTGTCGTGGTCAAATCTTGCAATCAAAATTTAGTCTACTTCCTGTGGTCCAATGAATTAAACATTTCGCACACGTACTCAGATCCGGTGACAATGCATGCCTGTGTCAAAATCGGCATCAATTAATCGATTAATTGGCTCTTTTATAGCGATTAACATTTTGTATGGACGGCTTATTAATTAATAAATTATTGGGGAAGGTCAAAAACGCCGCGGTCCCTAAACCGTGGAATCGCCTCGCCCAAGCAGCAGGCACAACGTGTCTCAGGGGCGCACGCTCCGTGTCAACGAGCTTACGGGCACCCTCCACACAAACAAAAGTTGCACATTGAAGATTCAGTTAAACGAAGTTGTGAAAAAAAAGTTATTTAAACTGCCGTGGTCAAATCTTGCAATCAAGATGCCGTCCACTTCCCGTTGTCCAATCGAGTTATTTACTTTTTAGTGCACTTTCAAATCAAACCGTTGGTTTAAAAAAATAAAATTTTAAGGAGTTTATTTCTCTCTTGTCAACTTGTTCCCTCTGTAAATTTCACCCCACCCACTCGCCCGTTGCGGCGCCCCCCCTCCCCCTCGGATTGGCTGAGGTGTGCGAGCTCTGCGATCCTACATTTACTTGCAAATTCCATCCCTAGCCCCGCCCACTTGCCCTTGGGTTGTGCCCACCACAGGCGTGTGGCCTCTGGTTGCCCGGTGGCTCTCTCGCTACATTTCCTCTTGCCTCAGCAGTCCGCCTGCTGTGTTGTTTCACCTGAAGACGATGGCTTGTGTTGCTATCGAAACGCCGTGATTTATTAGTTATTTTTTTTCTGTCTACGTTACTTTACCGAAAGAACCAAAGAGTATGAATTCCTGCAGTCACGAAAGCTTCAAATCAAGAATGTGAGCCAAATTTAATTTTGTTTTGCTAACACAGGAGTATCTTTACCCAAACACTGTAGCCTTCGTCTTAAGTTATTTAATAATATATTGTACGTAATTTTCATTGGTTGTTATATTGGTTGTTATAATGGTTGTCTTGATGGTTAATATTTGCCTAGATTTCTTTCTAAACCTTTATTTTTCCAATATACTTTTCAAACATCTTCTCATATCACTCTGAATAGCTTTGCTGAGAGCATTTTTCATTTCTTAACTCATCCAGATTTGTATAGTTACTTTTCCATGCAATCTTAATATAGTTAGTCAATATTTATAATAGTTTTTTTCAGGACTTATATACTGTGTATATATTTATTAAGTCCTTGGTTACTGAGAGCCAGATACCTGCTTCGGTTTCCACTGAATCAAATCACTTTTCATAATCTACAAAAGCCAGGCAGAATGGCGTTTAATATACAGCCCTGTATAGATGTCTTCTTGAACATCTGATCGTATGTAGTGACTCGGGAGAAAGCCTTTTGTAAATCCAACCGTCTATTATTCGGTTTTATTTCACCTTCGTGAACATGAATGCATGCGATGAACGGCTGACTGATGGGTGTGTAGTTTTTAACGCCTCGTGCATCAGGTCAACTGTGGTGCAACTGTGCTACGTTGTGTTGGCGTTTTCAGCCAAGGTGCCAAGGTGCCATACGCTTCAAACTTCTGCCACGTGCAGTCCCTCCATTGGCCGTCGGCTGTTCAGTGTGGCCACCTAGTGGTGGAACGCGTGACTGCTGACGGCAGAAACGCAGTTGGCAGCTGGCTTGAGGCTCTTTTCTGTCCACTGCATTGGACATTATCAGAAATTGCGTGAATCAGTTATGTGAACAATGCTGAACATGTTTGGAGGATTCCTTTACTGAGACGGAATTACGTAGGAATAAATAGTTCGGTTTTGCTTTTGAAGCAGTAACTTATGTTTGAGAAAGCTAAGTGGTCACATCCGTATCACCGTTTTGCTTATACTTGGAGTTCGTGTGTTAGTTAGTCTAAGGTCATGGCAAGGTTTTTTTATGTAGTTGGGAACACGGTGTAAAAGCATGTGACTTGCAACCCTTATTCAAACTCAGGATCTCAGCAACGTCATTTCGGTGCACTGAGCTAACACCAGATTTGCAACTAGTCCCCCAAGCCCCAGCGCCAACTGCAAGAAAAAATAAAAGTTCAATTAAATGCCTGCCACCTGTATCTGCGCATGTATGTCTGCATCTTTTGGATTCCTCCCGCTCTAGTTGGAGTCTTCTTGCCGCTGGTCTCCAGCTTTCCGAGGTTCACTGACATCTTACCGCTGCAAGGCACGCAGAACTTCGTCCTCTGCAAGTTGTGCGATGACGTGAGCGGCCCGTTCGCCATCACCACGGCCGCGTGCGACCCTAAGAATGATCTGTGCACCAGCGGCTGCGAGCGTAGCTCCACGTGCGTCGACTCCTACTGCGCTGCTTTCTGGTAAACACCCTTTCCCAGCAGCTGTACTCCTACGGGGCTTTGTAGACTTGTACGTCTTGCATGCACTCGTAAGTAGTCTGCTCTGATTTGGGGAACGTCAGCCGTGATGGAAACCCAAGTAATCACAAGGAGGATTAAATATTGAGCCAGATTGAGTTAAAATTGCTGTGCTCCTGTGTCACAAAGGTATTTGGAGTAAACTCATAAGTTTTGTTAATTGCATGCACTGTCGTAAAAAAAGTGTTTTGAGTTCGATCTGGCAACCTCTGGATTGCAAGTCCATTGTGCTAACCATTACCTCCCCCCCCCCTCTGTGGCAGCATCCTTGGGATGGTTGCGTCACGAACAATACTTTCCTGATCAATCGAAATATGAAGCCTTGCCGAGCCTTCAAGTCTCTTGGCGAGGCGTCTCCCCGCCCCCTAACTGCCCCACCACCCCTCCCCCTGGTCGTGAACTATTATTCTTGCCGGCACAGGAACGACAACGGCAACTCGATAAACGTGAGCACGCAGTGCCTCTCCCTGGAAGAGCTGGTCGCCAAGCTCCCGGGGCTGAACAAGAGCACCGCCAACAGCACCAGCTGCGTCAAGCAGACCGTGCCGACCGGCACCAACTTCACCGGGGCGTGCGTGTGCAAGGCCGAGGAGTGTAACCACTACCTGCCCATCAGAAGCCACCTTCCTTCCCAACAGCCGCCCTTCAAGAACGAGTCCAGCACCGGTAGTAAGCACGGACACCGCTCTGCGGCAATTGGGGGTGCGCATGGTCAGTTCTGGGGTTACGCTGCAGGAGATTGCAAAATGCAGTGTGTTCATTATTACTTCGCTGTCGTTACTGGTCGTTACTGGACATCAGGCCCCGATAAGTATTTTCCAATATCCATATGCTTATAAATGTGTACGCGTCATTGTATCTTTACGTGGCTTACACGTGCTTTAACACATACTGTTAGAATTGCAGCAATTTGCAGTTAATCAATAATAAACTTGAGTCACTTTACTCTAATTGAAATATTTTGATGAGAGCACTGGATTGCAGCCATATGCCACTCCCAAATTGCGTCGCACTTGAATTGTTCCAAATGCACCGCATTGACATTTCGCAGGCCAAAATTGAGTTGTTGCCGATTGTATCGAACTCGCGCCAATCACATTGCGCTGAACCGCTGTGCAGACGACGGCGATGGGCAAAAGCTGTACCTCATCATCCTGCTGGCTCTGCTGCCCGCGGTCGCCCTGATCGCGCTGGTCATGCTCACGTTCTACACGCTGTGCGAGCGGCACAAGCGCCGGGGCCCCCACGGCGCTGCTGCCCTGCCCTCCAAGGAAGGCATCAAAACGCCGCTCGGCAGGGGCCTCTCCGCACCGTCCTCGGGAAGGATGGCGGGCGGGAGAGCGGCGGCGTCTGGCGGCCGGAGGGCGGCGGGAGTAGCCGGCGGCGAGAGCAGCGAGCGGTGCGCCCTGCGCGACGACCAGTCCGACGTCAGCTCGACGTGCGCTAACAACATCAACCACAACACGGAGCTGCTGCCCATCGAGCTGGACGCCGAGGTGGGCAAGGGGCGCTTTGCTCGCGTGCGACGCGCCAAGTTGCGGCAGAGCGCGGCCTCGGATCACTTTGAGACGGTGGCCGTGAAGATCTTCCGCGCGGCCGAGTTTGCGTCGTGGCGCTGCGAGAAGGAGATCTTCTCCGACGCCAACCTCAAGCACGAGAGCATCCTGCACTTCCTGACGGCCGAGGAGAGGCTGACCACCGAGCCAGAGCACGACGTGCTGCACGCCGGTGAGTGGCGCTGTTTAAATCTCTCACGGGCCGAGAGGGACGCATCCCTCCGTTTGTGTGCCAGACTGCGCCACATGACCTCGCAGCCTCTTTGGTCGCGCTTTGGTGACGTTCAAGCGACGTCACACCATTTGATGCGTCAACGCAGTGACACTGCTAGGAAGCGATGGCGGAGCACCTTATTGGGATTTTAGTTTTTTCTCAATGATTGAGCTTAAAATGCATGTTGGACAACTGAGAACACAAGGCCTAGCGGTGTATCCACAACATATTTGTTCTTTTCAGCTGTGTTTTAAAATAATGTTTTTTCGTAACGTGGTCGTGGACTGCGAATTAGTCGAACTTCTCTTTCCGTGATGCGAACACTGATTGCTCTGCTCATCATGACTACACCATGCCAAGGTCATGCAGTAATTGTAAGAGTTAATGTAAGAATGCAATTTCTGCACGATCCACCAAACTTACACCTGGTATCTGGGCTTAGCTAAATTAAGCGAAAACCCAAACTGGAGTAGGTTTTATGTGTAGTCATGTGACCGGGCTGAGAGGATTAACTTACTACTCAGTTTAATAAAGCGTGGTTGAAATCTACATTTGAATTCCAGTAGCCAGTTGTGTAACATTCGTAAAGTGAAATTTCCTATTAGATCACACTGATTTACGTCGCAAACTAAGGGAAAACCTTAAGCTGTTTCTGCAACTGATCACGGGGCCTTTATGGGAAACTGAGCACGCATAATTTGCAAATGTCCTCTGGGACGTCAAGTCTTGTGACAGATGAACATCAATAAATATGTCGAAGCCAATATTATTGCTGATGCTATGCGTGGCCCCTGCATTGAGCTTGATATCGATGATGCCGGTAATGGCGTTGAGACCAGTGCCCTAACATCAATGATTCATGAACCCTCCGGAAGCCACCCGTCTGCTATCATTGCTGACAACCCCTACGTGATGCGACAGGCATGGCGGGTGGTGGCGGCGGCGGCGGCATGGTGAAGGAGTACTGGCTCATCACAGCGTACCACCCGCGGGGAAACCTGCAGGACCTGATCATGCGCAAGGTGCTGAGCTGGCGCGAGCTAATGCTGCTGGGCGCGTCGCTTGCCCGCGGCGTCGCGCACCTGCACAGCGACCGCACGCCCTGTGGCCGGCCCAAGATGCCCATCGCGCATCGCGACATCAAGAGCTCCAACATCCTGGTGAAGGCGGACGGCACGTGCTGCCTGTGCGACTTCGGTCTCTCGCTGAGGCTCGACCCGTCCCTCAGCTCCGACGAGCTGGCCAACAGCGGGCAGGTGAGAGTCGCAAAGACGGGGGCACAGATCCCCCGTATAGCCTTTAACGCACTTTTCGGGCAAGTGCCTCTTAGCGAACGCTTATTTAAGGACGGCACAGCGCGTAAGGGGGTGGGTGGCCAGCACTGCGCCCTGCTGCCTTTGCCTGCTCAGTGCTGATGTTAACAAATCAGCACCAGGTACTCATTTCAGATTGAGTCGACCCAGGGGATGCCCAGGACCAGTTAAGATATACGTTGCCGATGTTGGCTGTAAACGGGAATACAATACAGGTGCGTAGAATAGTGCGCGAACCACTACACTGCCGCTCCCCACGAGTGAGACACACACACACACAGATGGATTATATAATCAGATGGATGATTGATAGACAGATGGACACTGACAGCCATGAAGACAAAAACATTGACAAACAGATGGAAATATGGATGGAACTATAATGTTTAACAGATAATATTGCTGAAAATGGTGTGTCAGTATTTTAGTTTGTTGATCATGATGACATGAGAGCTCACACGACTTATGCATGGACTGGCAATGGACACAGTGCGAGGCTCTCAGTAATATGGACTCTACTGCGACAGCTTAGCCTGCCATGTAAAGCAACGCTGCGGGTGACTGCTCTGCAGGTTGGCACGGCCCGCTACATGGCCCCCGAGGTCCTGGAGTCGCGCATCAATCTCGAGGACCTGGAATCCTTCAAGCAGGTGGACGTGTACGCCATGGCACTCGTACTCTGGGAAATGGCATCTCGCTGTGACGTCTTAACAGGTTGGCACGAGCATGTTTGTGTGTCTGGGTATGTGCGCGGGCGGTACATCTGTCAGTCACCTCAGTTAACCCATAACGCCTGGGGTCAGTCCCGCGACCTTTATTCAGTGAGCCTTTGACACTTCGCGTGGCTTCACAGTGCACCTAGCCTGGAACAAGTGCTGTGGTGACGTCTTTGGCACTTAGTGGCAGATGTCGGCGGTTGTTGTGTACGTGAATTCCTGTGTGTAGCGACATCAGTGGCATGTAATGTGCTGATAGGGTCACCAGGTGGTGCTGTGGACAGGGTGATACGTTTACATTCTGCAGGTTGAAAGTTCAACTGTGGATGCAGGTTAACTCAGATCATCATCCCTGTATGATTGATGAGTATCACTTTGGGAGAGGTCAGTAGTGGTTGTGCTATGGATAGATTGGTCCCTGCCTTAGGAATGTTGACTTTCCACCACTATCTATATTTGAGAGGCCGGGTGACTTAGCAGTAACTCATGTGCCTCACAGTTATAAGGACCTGTGTTTAATTCCTGTATTTGGCGCTTTTCTGCGTGGAGTTTGTATGTTCTCCTCCTGTTTGCTTTGTGTTTCCTCCAGGTTTTCTGCTTTCCTCCCATATATATAAAATACAATGTAACTAACATTGGCCAAACATCCATGCAAATTACTACATTTGGATCATACAAAGCTAAATCATCCCCCTACTGTGAAGATTTGGCAGGACCCTCCTAAAAACGAGACCTGAGTCTATCAGTCTAAACAAGGGTAAATCATAAAAAAAAATATAACAATCGCCAGGCCATCAGTAGAGATTAGATAATCCCATGCTGGTTTGAGCAGAGACAGTTTGGTACAGTATGTATGGATGTATGTTGAACTTCTTTCGCACCGTACGTAGTCAACCGTGCGAATCGGAGGTGCGGGGGAAGGACAGCAAACTAAATACCTAACGGAGGCTATGTCCCACCGTGTGCTTTTTAACTTTGAATCAATGGATGACCTGTACATATGTTGCATGCATGTTACAGTACAATGCTTACAAGTACGATAAGCCTTAACCATGTATCGATAGCTACATTTTAATCTGCAGTTTTATTGAGGGACTGTGTGTTGTCTTTTATTGAGGGTCTGTGTACTATGGTCCAAGACTCTTGTTGTTGTTTTGCTGCCTTTCCCAAGCTTGCACTTATTGTTGAGAAATCGCCGGGAATTTATATACTTTGGAAATTTGTACTTACATAATTTCTATTTCTATATTTATTGTGACTTCATTACCTACCCTATACTTTGCACTCCTATCGGTTTTTGCATTGTTGTTGTAACTTTCTGACACGCCCCAACTGGACATCTGTGAAAAAGAGCTTCATAGCTCATCAGATTCCTAGTCTCAATAAAGATTCTGAATGATTCTGATTCAACGACCAAGGCAACGTGAGCTGTTTTTTTGTTAAGCCTGGAAACAAACGAGCCTAACGGAGGCTATGTCCCGCCGCATGGCTGTGGTGCAGATGTCAAGGACTACGAGCCGCCGTTTGGCACCAAGGTGCATGAACACCCGTGCGTGGAGAGCATGAAGGACATGGTGCTGCGGGAGAGAGGTCGCCCAGACATCCCGGGCAGCTGGCTTCTGCACCAGGTGACCACCGCCTAACAACATTGCAGCCAATGTGCATGTGAAATAAATCTGAGCGTGCAGGGCGGTGCAGGGTTAACACAGTGAGAAGGGCCCGAGTTCTGTTCAGAACCTTTGCGCAATGCGTGGAGTGTTTTATGTGTGTCCCCCTGTTCTGCAGCGTGCGAGTGAGTGAGAGTGTCTTGAGTGAGTGGAGTGTGTATGTTTTTCTCCTGTTCTACATGAGCAGCCTCCGGACTCTAAGGTTTCCTCTCACAACTAAAAAAAAATCAAAAACACTTTAACTGGTATTGGCCAAACGTCCCAATGCTGAAACATTACCTGCAAATTATTCAATTGGGATTACACATCGCAACATCGGCCCGAGCACAAAAACTTGACAGGATCTTGAGGCTCAATGAGGCTTTCTTGGGTACACAATTATGGCTTTGTAAGCTAATGGTTTACCCAAGTGTCCAGGTATGGCGTTCCTGTGTTGATCAGTGATTCAGTCTGTAAAGTTACATTTTCATTTGTTAATTACCAAGATATATAAAGTAATGATATATATTAAAATTATATAAACATTTCAATAAATCTTAAAGGACTGACTGCAATGGCAGTTGGTGTATATAAATGAAAAAAATATCACTATTGCTGTCAGTAACCCTACTTGTTTCTACAAAATGGCATAGAAAATGGGGGAAAAAAAAATCTGAAAAGAGCACAAGGAAGCTTATTAGAGTCTTCTTTGGTTCTTTCGGTAAAGTCACGTAGAATTCTAAGATGAATCCTTGCAGTCACGAAAGCTTTAAATCGAAATTTAAGCTTATTAGAGGTCCACGGTGGGAATTACTGTACACTGAGAAACAGAGAGAGGGACATATGAGGTAGATAAAATAGGCATGTTGGAGATATAACAAAACATTTTACCCTTTCTGGCAATACAACAGGTGTCAAGATGCTAATACACCAAACAGAATCCTTATTCAAGGAATCCTGTGTGCATTAACCACACGTACATGTGGTGAACATGCAAACAAAAGACATGCTCTGGTAGTATATGTGGCATTGTCTTTGAAACTGATTGGTCCACACCAGAGACAGCTTTCTTTTTGAGCCTCGTCTCAAACGGTGTTAGACCGGCAAAAAGGCGAGCACGGCACAAAGGCAATGCCACTATCAGGGCATTTATTGCTCGAGGTGAGCAGCTACACTATGGGACCTTGACTGTTAAGACGTTTACTTGGTACATGTCGCCAGAAGGGATGCTGTCCAATGATTGAGACAAATGACGAAGCGATTGCCAAGATACGGCACACGCCCTTGAAAGGAAATCCACCGCGGAAATGCAACAATGAAATCGGGTTGTGTGTGGGTACTATGTGAATCGTTGTCCTGCAGGACCGTGAGCTGGTGACACTTTGGGTAGGCCTTCATCCCGCAGTGCATTCATCAAGGCTGACGATACCATATATATGATAGGCTGGTGCTGTGGCAGAATGTTCATGTCAGAGCAGAGAAGAGTAGCACAGTCAGAAAATCTTTATAATGACATCTACTTTAGTTGGAGAATCCAGCAATGGGTGGCACTGTAACAAAGCGCCTAAGTCACATTCAGGAAGCTGAGAGATAAAATACTGGTGAAGATCAACTCGGCGCAGAAAGGAGAGTAAAACATTGTCAACGGTGTTACTTTGAAGGGATGCTGGCTAATGGTCAAGACTAACGACAGAGTGGCAGCCAAGTATGGAACACGCCCGGGAGGGTGTCCATTGCGAAGATGGAGCGTAGTGTGCAGTGGGAACTAGTTGTATTGTTACATCACAGGACTGTGAGGCTGCCGCCTCTCACTTGTTCCGAAAGACGGAAGCCTCAGTATGAAGGCGACACGCTTTAATGTCTGCTGCCGTCACGTTTCTGTTGCAGGGAATGGGCTTCCTGAGCGAGATGATCACCGAGTGCTGGGACCACGACCCAGAGGCCCGTCTGACGGCGCAGTGCGTGGCAGAGCGCTTCAGCCAGATGGAGCTCGCGGAGACGGAGCGGGAGAGGGAGCGCGACAGTCAGCCGCCGCCCACCGACGACTCCTCTCCCGCCGAGAGCTCGGACAGTTTTGAGGACAAGGGCGAAACGCAGTGTCTCATGGGCAGCCCCTCCCGCTGAGGGGCACGGGGGACGCAGGGGGAAGAGAACGCAGCCGGAAGTCTTGGGTTAAAGTGACGGGTGCGCACGTACGCGGCCACGGACACACACGTGGACGTGGACGCGCGCGTGTAAGCAGAAAAGTTATCAGTCGGCTGAGTGCATCATCAGCTTAAATGCACACTGATTTGTTGGTCCTGTTTTTTTCTACCATTACTCAGGCACTCTATACGCGTTAACGAGCTTTAATCGTCAACACGCTCCCATGGCCATGCAGATTAACCAAGTCGACTTCATACACAGAGAGAACAACGCAGTTTAGTTTTGCATTTGTAAATTCAGCACACGTGTACAACACTTTCTTCACAGTGCATGGACAATCATAAACATTTATAACGTGTTAACAAATACACGAGCAAGATTGACTATTTTGTAAACATAAATACACGTGCATTTGTCTCCACAAACACCCCTATATACAAAGACAAATATCCCCCATATAGATTTTAACAGACTTTTGGGGCAAGTGCTGTCAACACCTACGAGTGTCGGTAAAGCGCACAAGGGGGTGAGTGGCCAGCATTACCATATATACATACACGCAGTATTTTTTTAAAATCAAATTTATTTTATACTCACAGCAAGACATCATTTTCAATATTTTATGAGACAACATTTCCCCTCAGTGCTGAGGCATTGAAAAACACTGTAAACGTAACTGGGTTCCATTTGATGTAAAACAATTGGCCTATATTTTTCAAGTAGACAATTCAAAGATAACTGGTGATATATTTTATTACTGTATTATTTCAATTATATGACATTTCCAAACATATATATTATATATATAAAACTTTTCAAAACAATGGCTATAATTTGATGATACAAAGGGAATAACTTTTTCTCAACATAGGTTGACAGTATTTGGAGCCATTTCCTTGTCTCTTTTTCCAAGGGGGTAAATAGAAAATGAGGTCTAATTTTTCATGTAACTACCCAGATTTATCACACTAACCTTGGGAAAGATTAACTATAATAAAACAAGGGCTGGAAATAGATACATACACATGTAACGATTGTCGAGTTTGTCAACATACAAGGGAAGACCAACACATGTTGCTTTTACATTAATACATTTCAACCATCTCAAATCTTCATCTGCTACATCACCTTCCAGTGAAATGGAATTTGCAAATGAAGTGCAATGGGATGGGTTGGCTCTCCAACTTCCAATTATGCAAGCATTAAAAAAACACGTGCATATCCATGACCGACTTTAGCTGATGCAAATCAAGTGAAAACAAACGATGTTTTAAACGAGCCATGTGGAGGAAATAGGGTTAATGTAATACAAAAGGGAATTTTATACTGTAATGCAAACTGAATGAATGAGGGTTTTATGTTTGATTTGCCTGGCTGTTGGTAAACCAAAGGGCATGTATATGATAGGGCATACCGACAGACCAAAGGCGCAGTGCAAGATTATATTGAGAGACTTGTCACATTATCTGCATAAGTTGTGGAATGTGTCACTTTTTGGAAGGGGCATTTTGTGAGGCCTGGAACAGCTGCTGAAATGACATTATCCTTCTGTTTGTATAAGTTTGTTTCGTTTTGGGTTTTATTTGATAAAACCTTAGTTTGAATGATCAAATATTGTATATACGTGTGTACAGTACAGTATATTAAAAAGATATATGTAAAATGCATCGCAAAATATTAACGTTTTGGGCATGGTACATGACACTAAAAGCTCAAAGTGCAAACGGCTTGCAACATGTAAATATGAATGTTTTATTGAAATGTTGATAAAATTGATGCTATAAAAATATAATTGAAAGTTCTACAGTACTGTAGTTAAACAGAATATATTTTATTTGAATATTTTAAAACATATGTTATTAGTTAATAATTTGGCAAGAATTTGTGACAAGACATCTGAAACTATGGTTTATAGAGCATTTTGATGTGACCATATTCCCCAGATTATGACACCTTTTCACTGTATTTTAGAGCCAAGTTGTTACTTATTATTTTCCTTTACATTTAATAATCCAGAGCATATGGTAATATCCGAGGAAATTAATAGATTTCACAACAAAGGTGGGCATTGCACATACAAAAGCTCTCAGCCTTATTCAGACCACCAGCTCAAAATAATGTGGCCATTTTGTTGTTCAGAACCTACTCAAAATGTGGCCATCCCCACAACAGGCAGTAGCGAAACAAAGACAAAACTGTTGACTCGTTTCTTCTTCATTAGGACTCATCACTACGGTACAGTCGGCACTATTTGCTGCTGTCATATGCCCCTGGGAGCCCCGTATAGGAAGAGGACTTGTCCTTTTACACCGTGGCAATCCCATTAGCACTTGCCTAAAGTCAACCATGACGAGAAAACACATCGGAACAGAAATATTATTGCAGGCTGCAAAGACAACAACAAGAGGTGTGCATTGCTTATAGCAAAACAAAAGTTGAAAACAAGCACCTTGGGAATACTTCTCTATGTTTTCAAAGCATTTTATGGAAAATGGAATACGCATTAGCTTGTTGTTGCTGGTCACAAATACTCTGCCGGTTCAGCCCCAAACATGTACATTTCAATTGTTCTTAAACGAAAGAGAATGTGGAAAGTGAAGCCATGTATTAACTGGGAAGATATGCTCAACAATTGAACATTTTAATACAAGGGTGTGTGCTTACTACGTGAAAACTGTATTGTTTTCTTGCCATTGTTTTTTTTTATTTCTGTTAACAGCTTTAAGAAGAAACAAGTATTCAAGTGTTACTAACCACGATGTAGTCTGTGCAGTGTTATTATTTTCAATTATTTTTGAACATTTGCAAGTGTATGACATTTTGGCATAATACCGGTGCAAAGTAGATATCTGGCAGTGATTGGTAATGTTAACGCACGAATTCACTCAAGCAAATGTTACGTAGTCTTTATTCATTAACAGAGTAATTGTCAATGTAAAAAAAAACTTCGATGTGACAATTTGAGGGTTTATTGAAAACACACTTGTCTTGAATGGTATTTCGAGATAAAACAGATGGGGTTGTGGTTATAATATGCAAGTTTATTTTGGTGAAAACTCAGGAGACCAGGAGTCAGATTTGGGTCACCAATATGACAAAAGCAAAAAAAAGCAGAGCAATGAAACAAAAAGAATCAGAACAAAAACCACTGTGCCACATGATAAAATAATATATAAAATGTATTAAGCATGGTTAGAATGATGGGAAGGTGAAACAGAGAGTTAGTTATCAAGAATTAACTTTAAAATGAATACATTATCACAGTGCCTACTCTACAGAGGTAACCTGTAGCACTTCAAAAACTGTATTGTGATTTCTAAAAATGACTCCACCAATGTGTGAACAAATTCTTTATCTTGTAAGGTATATATTACAGCACACTTTATATATAATATAAATATACCAAAGTTATTTTTTCCTGCTATTTGCCTGTACTGTATATACTTTTTGCTGAGTGGACGGGATTAAAAATTCAGTTTATGGGTGCGATACTGCAAAATACAAATAAATACATTTTTCATTACATTTTAACATCTGCCGTTGTTTTAAATATATAGCGATGCACATTCTTCAGATCCATTCTGCCCTGATTAAAATCGAGAACCCAGTTTAATTGCAGAAACATTTTTTACAAGCCTCACTTATACACAGTAAATAATTGTAGCCAGAACAATCTGGAAAACTGTTCCAGGAATTTTTTGTTTTGTTTGGCATGCCACATCCATTTAACTTTTTGTGGTATCATATATGTATGAACCTGTTTTGAGGATTCTAGCAATTAAGGTTGAAAAATATAGAATGCATCGGTGTACCTTGTACTCCAGTACAAGTACCTTATGCCCATTAACCCTACTCCAAGCCAGCATGGCAGCAATATGGAAATAGAAATTAAATCCTCGTTCTACATAAAGTGGGCACCAAGTATGAAGAGATATTTGTAAAAATTATGTTAAATGGTTGACCACCGATTCAGACATATTTTCAAGTGAAAAGTGCTAAACATTCACAACGCAACTGAATCTTTAATACATGGCTTCTGAAGCTCCAGCTCTTACACCCCACCACTATGTTTCAACATTTCACAATTATCTCCAAATAAATTAATGTGTTACACGTGCCATACACCTGGTGACCCGAACAAGGTTTTTGTGTGAGGACTGGGATTTGAGAAGCCCTGCTCTAAACACACCACTTACTACTTAACAGACCCAGAGAGTGAATGTGTTGTGTAAAAAGACAATGGAAATTTTTTTCTGTACGCAAGCCAGATTAGTAGCCAAATCTGTACACAGTTCATATGTGAAAAAGCATATACAGTATGTGGGGAGAAACGTGTTACGGTTAAAATCCCAGTGCTTCTGGTAAAGATTGGCCATATATCTCGGTCAAAATGTGCACCAAAAGGGGCTTCCCTTAGGTCTACTCAACCTAAAGCCTGGTAAAAGTCGTCTGCCAACGAGTGCAGTGAAATAAGACTGGCAGATGTGTATGAGCCCTTCCTTTATTTGCTGTACATTTAATAGTCGCTTACTAAAAGTCTTTTGAATATATAACTGGAGTGTATGTGCAAATGCACGTGATGTATTAATCACGAGATTAAGTAGCTGGAATCATACTTTATTCAGAACATCGCTAGCAATCACGGGAGTTGTGAGCTCCCTTAGTTTAATCCCTTGGTGCAAACGCTGCAACAACTAAGTTGGAGCCCTCTGCAATAACAACACGTTGCACATTGTATTTGTTACGATCACACCGACATGCAGCGCTTGCTGGATATCATCCTCAAGAAACTTAGGCTCTTGTTTGCATTGGATTTTTGGCACAACTTCTGGAAAACTAAACGTTGGTAGTCACCCCCTTTCAAAATAAACTTGCAATATGCTTCTATCAGCACCAGTCCTCTCCTCAACCACACGCACTTCCATTTCCAGAAATCTCCCAGATCCCCGAGTTGTGTTTGTGGGAGACAAAATATATTGTATTGAATAAAACATGACTGAAAGAAAATAAACAGAAGGATTTTCGAAGTCATGATTGCAAAATGGGAAGCAGGTTATTAAAATGTATATATTCTGTACTATACTGTGTGCATATACTACAGATCACTATAGGTCTCCATTGTAAAGGTAATGTCGCCATTGTAAACATAAAAGACACTGATTCCACAAGTTTCACCAAATCAGGAGAAACCAATTTTTGCTCTGGCCCATACTTAGCTCAGAACAAACAGGCATTAAAGTGTCACTTTGTAAATAATAGGATTTGTAACTATATACGTTAAGTCGCGTAGTTAGAAAAAAATAGTTCACGTTTCAATCGCAACACAAGCAACCATCTTCAGGTGAAAGACGATTGCTCGTGTTGCGATCGAAACGTCGTGATCTATTATTATTTTTTCTACCCACGTGACTTTACAGAAAGAACCAAAGAGTATGGATTCCTGCAGTCACGAAGGCTTCAAATCAAGATATATACGTGAAAACAGATTTATCACGGGCCTTACCACCGAATGGCATCTTCCCCTGGTGGGAACCAGCCAGTGCAGAGACGTCTTCTTGGTTAGAGACTAGCAAAGAGAATTAAAATACGAGTTTGATTATCATGCATTATTCTCATACGCTGAGCATGTGGTAAAGTGCTGTCCTGTATTGTGGACCAGGTCACCTGAAACGGTCTCTTAACACAAATGGCTGCAGTGTTATAGATCTGCACCGGTAATTCATCTCACAGGCGGCAGGCAGCCTGGACGGCAGCAGCAGACTTAGTCCCGACCGCTTTAGTGGCCCCGCCTGGCAACAGAGGCACGGTCAGAAGGCGCTTCTGCAGGTTGATCGACGAGTCACCTTGCGTGTGGTCGCAGCCTTCGAGGCAAAGATAGCAAGCTACCACGAGCCCCCTGAAGACGGCATTGGGCGAGGCCAGCGTTTTCTCCTGTTCGGGGGGTGGGGGTTAAGGTGGTAGCCACGACTTCGCCAATGGTGGATTCCACAACTCCAGACACCGCACCGGAAGTGGTGTGTGGCCTACAGTCGTGGCTTCCGCAGCCACTAGTGGAGTAAGCCATCCCATGGATGCTAAGTCTTATCACCTCCTGCGAGATGGTCGCCTGCAGCAATCGCTAGGAGTGCTTTAGCCGAAGCAACGTCAGTCGACAGCCCCCATGGCAGCATGGCCTCCTTCTGAAGTCGCAAGTGGCAGGACTCCCGTCAAGTATGGCAATCAGAAGCTTATGAGAGTGATGGTAACCTCATGGGCAGGTGTGCATCAGGTCCCTCTCAATAAAATGTTCAGCATACCACATGTATTCATGAGCACTAAGTTATGTCCTTTTTGTGGGAGTGCTCTACTCTGTGGCCCAGTAAGGGCCCTGTTCCTACCACAACCAATCTGGCTTTGACAGGTATATCAGGAATGACTTTGCTGCTAGGCCATACAAATATGTAAGATTTAGTTCTTACATAAATATTGGTTTTTATAGGTCTTGGCAGCTCCCACAGGGATCCCTCCCAACTCCCCATCTCAGCAGCGCTGCAGTAGTTAAGCATGTTTCCTTTACAACCTCCCGTAGGCACTCGGGAATTGGGAACGTTCACGAGGACCACATGGTCAGATAGACAGGATAGGTCAGACCCCTTGGTGCCTAAACATACTGCCAAGTAGTAGGGATCGAGTTGTGTTTGCACTGTATGATACATACCTTTTAAGATTCACACCTGTTATCTTCCTGAAGTGGGAAAGGTTGAGCCCCATGTCTCTTATACGTTGGAGTACAGGAGGGGTGGCCTTCCAGTGAAGATTCTCTGCACAGCCTGGTGTTTACTCGGAGTAATGATTGTGGGTGTTGCCAATACCATCATAAATTCATCTTTACATACTAATTAAATATTTAAAACAACATTTTATATCGCCTGCAATCATATCTGATATGTATAACTGCCAAAGTTAATTTTGAGTAAGACAGTGGGAGCAGTGACCCTGCAATATCACGGAGGACATCACTACTCTCCATACCACCACGAAAGAGGAGGCAGCCACCTGGTTTCTGCCAGTCCCTCCTCTCATGCCATTCATATTTCAAGCAGCATCCAGTATATTGCGCTGGATGGTATGTGGTAGCCGTTCTAAAACTGCTACTGTAAACAATATATCTACCTCCTGAAGCAGATTGCCACACAGGCGCAGCCCACCACAATTTATACTTCAAAATTAGATAAAATTTAAATCCAAAAAATAGGGTTCACATAACTAAAGAAATACGAGAGCAAAACATGTAAGTCTTTGGCTGAATCCTCTTATGGACATAGGTTGATAGGCAGCCAGCCAAGGAAGTCTTCTCTGCATGGCCGAATTCCAAAAGCAGCAAGATATCTGTTAGTTATGGCTGTGGGTGCTGCCAAGATGTACAAAAACATGAACGTGTTACACGCCAGCAAGCTCCAGTTCCCGCTCCGGGTCCCATGTTGTGCTGCTTTGGTCTGGGTCAGTGCTCGACTCTTCTCCCAGACGCTGCCACCAAGCTCGACGCAGGCTTCGCAGGGCTAGGGAATGAGCCTGCCGTGCACGGGCAGCCACCGGGCCCGAGCGACTCCTCAGAGCCTCCACATCCCGTGGAGAGGCCTGGGCTGGGATTGGTATGTCTATAGCACACGCACAAAAATCGTAAACACCAAAGGTCATGTACTGCTGGTGTGGTTACCGTAATGCATTCATATGTCAGGCTCAAATGGTCCTGAACCTGTGGTGGAATTTCCACATTATGGCAGGAGCCAGTCAGTAGTGTAAGGAACCACTATTGACTTCTCATTCTCGCCTCGATGGCAGGATGTTAACTCCCTCGCCTGGTATGCAGGAGGTCGTAGGTTCTATCCAGACCCTGACACTTATATATTTGGAGTTTGCATGCGTTACATTTACACGTAAGAAACTTCCTTGAGCTATCATTTGTGGCCAGGTCGCTTCTGAAAAAGAGCTATATAGCTTAATGGGCCCTACCTGGTAAAATAAAAATATATAGTAAAATTTAAATAAATAAAGTGTAATCGGCTTACACTCAAGACATTGCAAGATCTTACAATTACAGAATTATAACACACCTGAATACAACTGTACCAAGAGACTTATACAACAGGGAAAATATTCTATCTGAGCTGTTTGCTAATCAAGTGGATCATGTACAGAATATTATATACAGCAGAAACATGATGGATAAATAGCATTCAGATCAGGCTAAGATAAAGGGAAACAACTCAATGCAGACAAGAGGAAAGTTAGTACGGAGCAGCACATATTGTGGGAATGGTTTGGTATGCACGCACGCACGCACAAACACAATGGCATGCATCTCGAGACACATCACTAAGGGCTGATACGCACTGGCGAGCAGCTCGGCTTGAGTATTAATCTGGGCGAGCGTGGCCGCCCTGCGCTGCTCAGACTGTCGGCCCAGTTGCCTCTGCAGCAGGAACTGTCCCAGCAGCGCCTGTGCATGGTTGTGCAGCTCACGTGCCTCCTCTCCATGCATTGGGGTAGCCTGGTGAGATAACCAATGTGGACAAGAGGGCAAGTATTTTTTAAGATATGTATGTTGAATTTATTTTGCGCCGTACATAGTCAACCATGCTAATCGGAGGTGAAAAATTAAAGTCAAGATTTTATAAATCACACTTTGCATGTTTTTGTCAAGTAGAGCAACTATATAGCCTTACAATTTGTACTCTTTGGTCATATAAACATGCAAAGCCATAACTATACTTAGGACTATATGATGATTTGAATATTTTTTGGGTTCTGACACTAGATCAAAGAACGTCATATTAAAGTAGACAAAGGAGACCATTTGACATCAGTATAAGGCCCCAATGAATGGTTGTCATATATTAAATATCACTCATTGATTGATGAATAGTATATCAAAGAAACAATTATAGTTGTCATATATTAAATATCACACTCATTGATTAATAGTATATCAAAGAAAACAATTTAACGGACGTCTTGACCATATTTAGCCAAATGAAAGACAATTTAATGATTTTGAAATTCACTCGTCAGTGACCGCAACGGAGTGAGATTTCTCGTTCAAGAAAACAATTTAAAGGACGTCTTGACCATATTTAGCCAAATGAAAGACAATTTAATGATTTTGAAATTCACTCGTCAGTGACCGCAACGGAGTGAGATTTCTCGTTCAACTCTTTAACACCGAACCAAGGTATGTGTAAATAAACAGCAGTGGGACCGGATAGGTTAAACCCAAGGGTACCGGGTGCTTCTGGATGTGCTCTTCAATGTGGGCGCGTAGTTCCATCCGCCGAGCATCGCTCATGCCCCTCCAGCCCAGTGAGCGCGATGATGCTGCTGTCTGCTGGGAATGCCGTCTCTCCAGGAATCTGCGCACCTGCAGCAGGGGACACATGGCAGCTGATGCAAGGGCCACGGCCACTTGGTCCATAAACATTAAGGATTGACTTATAATTAAATATAAACAGATTACTTGGTAAGGAATGTATGCTCCCAACCTTGAGAATAAAAGTTCAAGCCTCAGCTGGACCCATTCTTTTGGTGATGCTACACTCGTTGTTTGGAAATATACAGTTGCTGTCCAAGAGAGAGAATTGGTCACCACCACAGTAGCGTGTTGATTTCTACCACCAGCAGATTAATTTGCAAGAACAAAATATGTTATAAGATACTATTAAGAAAACATATAACTCTAACAGAGGCTGACATTTCCATGTATACTCACGGCTCTCTGAATGGTAACGGCCGCCTTTGCTTGCAAAAGCAGTTGCCGGTCTCTCCTGAATGCCTTCCGTTTTTGAAATCCACGCCATCGTGCCTGAATCAGTACAGCAGCGCGGGTCATCTCCAATGCCAGGTACCGATCCATCTCGTCTGTGATTGGGTACATTCAGAGTGAGTAAAAAAAAACACATGGTGGCTCAGTGACGCTCAGCTTCATTCTAAGCCATCACTTGACTCTTTAATAATAATGCAATTTTTTTGGAAAAGCCACATTGAATATGAAAATTATTCTTAACGATGGTCCTGCAGTGGGACATTTGGCCAAAGTCATTGCTGAATTTGGACACGTGGGACAAAACTAGAGTACCAGAGAAATCTCACTCATACAAGAGGTAACATTCACCACAACCATCTCCTGTCCATTTTGCAGCCCTGGGCCTACAATACCTGGAAAGCTCTGGTGGTCCCCTATCCAAGTACTATCCAGGCTCAACACTGCTTGGCTTCTGAGATCCGAAAACATCGGACACATTCAGAGTAAGTACCTGGGTGGTATAGGCAATGGCTCTGGGATAAGGCCATGCTGCACTATGGCAACCATGGGAAGGAAAAAAAACAACATTGTCTAGACGCCCTTCATCACGTGGACGGTGAATCAGAGAGACTGTGGGGTTGAGGGAACCCTGACGGGTTGGCCATAAAAGGCCGCCACCACACATAAGGCTATTTACTTGCCAACCTGCAATGGTGTCTTTCAATCGGACATGTCCACTGCCTGGCAAGTAGCAGCTCCTACCTCCACTGTCCTTCCTGGCCTGCCCCATCTCCCAGCATGCAGCGCAAGAAGACATTTAGTGATCCGAGCCCAGACTAGGATAAACCAAGTCTGTTGGTTGGATCCAAGGGCTTGCTATAAGGGCTGTCATGGATATACCTCAATAAAAAAAAATTCGTGTTAATTAGAATTACACACTAATCCAGTTAAAACATGCTCTTTTAAAAGACTCGTTTTAAGAAATCTCCTGTGGTTGGTGCAACTGTCAGCCTGTGATTGAGATATTACTGGCAGATTTGTCGTAACGTACTGGCTGGCACAATTTCCAGGAGGAGCAGTCGACGTTGCCGGGAAGTGCGCATAGCTCGTTGGCGACGTATTATCAGCTCCTGACGCAGCTCTTCTTGTTGTCGCTGCTGCTCACTTTGTAATCGCTCCTTCTCCCGCTTCTGTCTGCACCAGCACGTATTGTTTCAATCACAATTATTTTCGGTAAATTCCCCATAATGGACGATAATCGTGAGAGCTATACCCGTAGAATGAATCAACAATCTGTGCTTTTGGATTCATTGCACATTTGAGGTTAATGAAGACTGACCCAACCCGTGTTTTCATTGTCACTCAATAAGCCAAATTTTGAGGTGGTTGGAAAATATAACATTCCCCAGACCACACCATTGCACTAAATTCAGTGCTTCATTTTGTTGGTATCTCAAATCCAGTATTCTTAAAATCCAACTTAATATTTCAGGGGTTTTAGTGGAAACTCATTTTCGACTCAGCCTATAACTTTTTTGGACTAATAAGATAATCACAACTTTGTAGGAAGTCAACAGTGGTTGTGAAATAAGTTCACTCATCCTCACTATAGGAATTAAGATTTTTTTTTAATCACCGGTTCAGAGGTATAAAATAGGAGTTGAATGGTTCTCCATTCTCAGTTGAGAATGGCAGGCTTAGAAAATAATGTCTTTATCAACACTTTTAATTCCTGATTATTAATATTTCACTCAAATATGTTTGTTGGTTAGAGCAGCAATGTAACATATACGTAAATTACACAAACATATATACCTGAAGCTTCGCTGCAGATATGTCACAGCGTGTGGAAGTTTTTTAAGCCTGCACCTTGCACGGTATGCTCTCCACGCACTCTGCACGACACTTGCTGCTTTGTGTAAATGCTGAAACATAAATATCAATATGTATGAAAAGAATGGGTGTGCTTGATTTCAGAACTCAGCAGTGAAGATGGATTCACCGATGATACATTTTAATGAATCGTACATTCAATATTGCAGTAAACATAACACTGAAAAGGCAATTATATGTTGCCTGTAGAGACTCTGTGGAACATTCTGAAAATGACAACGCTTTTTTTGCTCTGTATTTAACACTCTCAAGATATTTGGTATTTAATTGTAGAAATAAAATACATGATGCAAAAGTATAACATTCGTGTATTACTATAAAATAAGGTGGCATGCATAATTTCATTCCCAATTTATTTATACCTGAACAGAAGCAATTTATGCTTCATTTAAACAGCAAGTTGACAATACCTGTAATTCGGCCTGCTTATTAGAACCAGCACTGAGCAGGTCCAGCAAACGGCGAAAGTCTTTCTCAAAACCCTTGCCAATCCACATGTTAAGCAGCAGTTGCAAGCCTTCCAGAAAACACATCCACCACAGCGAGATGTACATTGGTACCAACATGACACCATACTGGCAAAAATACATATACCTAACTACACATTCCCGACAATTGTTTTTACATGAACCTAATGATTTCAATGCCTCATTAAACAATTTGAAGGTAAAAAAATCAAGAGAATCACATTTGTATATTCAAAACTTGGCATATATTTTAAAAATGCATAAGCAATTCAAATTACATAACCAGGATGCACGGTTAGTAATGGACCATTTATTTTAAATCCACCTTGGTGTTTCCATAGACAGATAATCATAAATCAACCATATGTTTAAAAACATTGTGGACTTTTTCATGAATCCAGATTTTTATATTCATGATAATAATCTTTGGATGTATAGGGCACATCATTTCCTCAGCATCTCAAAGCACTTTTCCTTAAATTTTATCTCAACCATTCAAAGGAGGCACCCAGTAACAGCCTACAGGTGAGCATTAGTCTTCCAGTAGAGGTCTATATTGATATCATTTTTCCAATTAAACATTTTCCAAGTATTTTTTTAATTTTTGAACATGAAGCATGCGCACAATTTCCGTGTTATCCAAATTCAGTAATTTGGGATTACAAAGCACACTTTTGGACATGGAACAACTTTTATTTATGAATGAGATAACACACAAGTGAAGTAAAACACACGTGTGATGATATACCTCTGCACTGAATACAAAATAGGAAAAATATTTTATTCTACAAAAAATCGAAAAGGAAAAGTATCTCTCTGCCTACACAAGCATTGGGGTAGTGTGCTTATCTGCACTGTCAGCCCAGTGTGAATGGTAAAAGTTAAACATTCATGATGGTTGCCAGTACGCCTATATTAAGAACACAGTTAAAAAGTGGTACTCAGTGATTTGACCCAGGAGACATGTTGATTCTTGACTTGTAAATGTTTATTAATAGTATTTTTTCCCTTTTTTCTGGCAACAAAACTGAAACCTTTTTACAAGGAATCATGTGTGCATTAACCACAACAAAAACACACACTCTGATAATATATGCATTGTCCTTGAAACTGATTGGTCCACACCAGAGACGGCTTTCTTTTGAGCCTCGTCTCAATTGGTGCTAGACAGAGGACGCCAAACGCATACAGCTCAAAGACAATGCACTATCAAAGTAATGAGGGCTCAGGGTAAGCATCTACATCATTAGACCTCCTTTGCCAGTACCAAGAGGAAAAATCCTATTATATTTTGTAAATGTTTGATTGAGTGCTTAACCTGAGCACTGGGATGGTTATATAAATTAACCGGCCGGTGGTGGTGCATAACGATACTGAACCTATCTACGTAACTTTACCGAAATACCCAAGAATATGATACTGCAGCACTTTTGAGGCAAGGGGTTGTGGAGTGCACACAACTTGCAAAACTTCCTTTCTCCGTGGGCATCGAGGTATTGTAACCCTGGCTTGTCAGGAAGATGTGGCACAAAGTGCAGACAGATATCATCTGTCCCCTGTATGGGATAGTGTTGTCTGTTCGCATTGCAGGTTTTCTCTGGGTGCTGGGGCTTTCTCTCACATGTATAAACACTTATTAATTGAATATCGTAATATATAGAGCACCGCAGAGTTTGGGAAATTGTTGGGACCAGTTCACCGGCTGGCTGCCTTCAATCTTTAATGTTGTCCCTCAGCATTGTGAGATGCAATTTTCATGTACATCAAAACTATATAAAGCTAAACATCAATATAATTTAAACACATGGATAAATTACTGAACTCTTACCTTTGAACCTGGTGCTGAAGGATGCTATTATTGGACGGTGGGACTCAGCTATACACAGCAGTGCCCTTGCCACCCCGCCCCCTAACCGAGGGTCAGAGGTCACAGCGAGCTTGTACACGAGTTCATCCAAAATTGCATTCATGGTCTTTTCGTCCACCTCACCGACAGCTCCCCTATGATGAGCAAAGTAAAATTTTTATTAGAAAACATTCAGCACAAGAGCTTAATGAAGTCACGTATTTTGTAGATGCAATAAAATATATGGGAGAGGTTGGAGATAAAAATAATTAAGCATATCTATTGACAGAATGTAATATTTTATATATCTGTCATAATTTAAGATTGTTAAACTGCATTAAACAAACTATGAAATGGAATGCATTGGCAGCACTTTAAGGATTGGACATTATTTACCACCACTGCCATTACAATGCCTTTCAACTGAAAAATATGCAACAATCTCATGATTCTACCCTCACATCTTGTATGATTCCTTTCCATATACTCTACAGAATAGTAATTCTGTTAAGTTCTGAATTATTCTCAGCCTCCACATGAACGCCAAAAGTAAAAATGTATCCCTGCTCAAATTAACATGGCAGCACTCATCTCCACTTGTAGCACTAAACCAGTGGTGGAAATTTCACATTCCAATAGCTAAATCAAGCCTCTTAATAGGACAACCGCATAATTCTGTCAAAAAGGTCCAAATGTTGTTGACCAAATGCATAATAGGTCATATCTACTTCTGAGAAAGCTGACTGAATGTATATATACATCTGCGTGTTACTGTGGAGTTGAGTGCTCTAACCACTGTCACTAAGCCCTCGTCACTCAGATTGCTGTTTGCTAATGACAGCAGACGTATAGGCCTTTCAGCATGTGCTTCAAGGTCAAATAGTCAGTTCACACGCTCCTTGCCTGTTGGTTCGCAGGACATTCTGAATGAGCGACATGGTGGAGCAGGCTGTGTCTGCGTCGTCTGTGATCAGCAGCTGTTGAAGGTGTTCAGACTTGAGTGCTGAAAGTGATAACATCCCACAATATCTGTTCTTAATGTTATTATTGGTGAAACCACATAGGTAGCTAATAAAAAGGCTGACATCTTGATTTAAAGCTTTCGTGACTGCAGGGATTCATATTCTTGGTTCTTTCGGTAAAGTCACGTGGAAGGGAAACAATAAAATAAAAATATAAAACAATAAAATTCTCACGACGTTTCGACTGCAACACAAACAAAATCATCAGGTGTGAAAACCACAGCAAGAAACAAATGTCTTGCTGTGGTTTTCACACCTGATGATGATTGCTTGTGTTGCAGTCGAGACGTCGTGATAATTTTGTTTTATATTTTTATTATTTATTGTTTCCCTTCTACGTGACTTTACCGAAAGAACCAAGAATAAGGCTGACATCATTAGAATCTTGGTCTTGAACAGATATTCTTATACTAACTGGCTCGGTGCTAACCGGTCCCCTGAACTATGCACTCGTTAACTGTTAAATGTTTCAAGGGCTTTTAGTCTGTAAAGCGAACACAAACTCTGCACTTGGGCTTTTTATGCATGGAGCGTGATGTCAGTTAATCGAGCTGAGGTCATGGAACTTGCCGCGCAAAAGAATTGTTGCAACCTGAGAAAACTGTGTTCACTTTTTCACTTGTTCACCCCGAAGGCACTGGATCAAAGCCATAATAGCTCAGTGCACATTTTACCTCTACATCACTCAGCAATATATATGTAATATATAAGTGTGAAGGTTGCCTGCAGAGATGTAATACATTGAAGCCTATGTTTAAAAAAATACTTTTCAATTGACTATTGTATTTAAGAGATTTTAACTCCATAACAATAACTGCCTACGTTACATGTTTTCTTCACTCAGACATCACTGCTTACTCCTAATGAAGATTTCATATGCTTTCCAATACCCTTTATCAGCCATCCACAACTATATTTTAAAAATGTTGACTAAAATATGAAACTATGCAAGTGGTCATGTTTTAAATTATGTTATTGATGATGTAACATAAAAAAATACTTATGAAGTAAATAAGTCATTACATATTTTGAGACGTATTCTTCCTTGTGTTTTTTTTTATTTGAATTTGCTCAGTAACCAAGTTGGGTTGTCAGTAGAAACAAGATAGGTCACATTGTATCTTAATAGACTGACTCACCCCTTGAAGTAAGCTCAATGTGGCCTCCAAAGAGCCAGCAAATTGAATCCACCACATTCTGAAAGTTCTGTAGAAAACCATTCTTTTCTTCCTCCTGGGTTAAGAACAAATTTGAACCTGTGTACTTTACATAAACAGTGACACTTACAGCAAAATTAGTTAATTATATACCAGGGTAAACATATATATATATATCAACTACACACTTGAAGTCATGCTCAATTTGCTCAAAAGACCAATTTAAGAATTTATACAAACTGAGTTAGTTTGCATTGAATGAGTCATATTTGTGTTATTGCTAGTATACAATATTAAAAACAATGCAGTGCATTCCAATAATCATTAGATATGAGCAACACAGTTTCTGATTATTTAAAAATGTTACCTGTCACTGCCAGTGAATTTGCCAATGACTTATATAGGTACAATGACACTCTTTTAACTTGTAAAACTATTTTTGCAGACATTAACCAGATATTCCAGGACACAGCTAATTTTTTTTCTGACAGCTGCATTACAAATTCGATAACTGTGCTTCTACCATCTTTCCCTTGAACTAACTCTCCTATTGTCACATTCATACATCCTTTCTCCTCCCCATTTCTTTTGCCTTGCTTAAAAAAAAGCCATCTTATTGAAGTTTATATTTTATTTTTTAAGGACATACATATTAGTTGTTTTATGAACAGTATTTGTTCACTTGGTTCCGGGGTGTTAATGGTTAGCACACTGGACAATCCAGAGGTAACCGGTTCGATCTTTCAGCAAGTTGAAACAATGATGCAAGTTTCTTAAATCCCCCTCACCCCTGTCCACACAGCAATATAAATATGTATTATCAGTTAATCGGTCTGCAGTTTGTGTGCGGTGTGGTAAATTGTGGGTACTCCCAACTGTCGCAAGACATCTGACGAGTGTGAAAAGTAGACCAATACATCCTCTAGAGCTGTCCTGTAGAACTCCCCCTCTCTCCTCGACTCCTTTCCACCAACAGCGATGTGGGAAAAGTATTGCAGGGCTGCAGATGTATCTATAACTTTTATCCACATGCATGAATAAATACAAGCACACGTGTGACAAAGGTGTGCGTGTGACCTTTCGCGCATGCAGCATGCGAGCCTGCAGGCGGCGTGCCAGCAGCAACATTCCTTCCAGCGCAGCTGGCAGCACCTGCGAGTGGAACTCCTCGGCGTCTGTGAGTGGCTTCAGTCCAACACAGCAGGTACTGTCGGCAGAATAAACCATTGCCCCGATGACGCTTGTTGACAGGGTCTGGGGCTTGCACACTTATGATGGCACTAGTTCACTTACAAATCCACATTAGACAGACCAGCCTCATGACAACTCCACAATAGCGCAGCTATGTCCCAGGGAAATAACATGAGACAGGATAACACCTGACGTAAAAATCAAGGCCTTAATATTGTACACGTTCATGGGAAAGCATAAGCCAAAAACTTACATCCTTCATCTTTGATGCTACCGTGAAACATAAAAAATATTTTGAGATAGGGTCGCTAGTTTTACTTGCAAGTGGAGACCCCCCTTTACAACGAGGTACCTTAAAATTAATGAAAAGTGGCCAACATGCAAATATAGACTATGGTAATCAGGAATGGCATTTGCAATTTTATTGACTCTCAATATTGATTGTTGCTAAAGAGGGTTTATGATACTTTAGTGACAATTTGCAAAGAGGCTGTTCATTAATAATGGACAGAGAATAAATTCACCTGAGTATTTGAGCAATCTGGGCAGCAACAGACCACCCTTCTTGTGTACGTGAGTAGTCTTTCTCCAGGACTAATAGTAGGTACTGCACCAATTCGTAGTACCATAGTAGCTGCTTGATGCGGCCAGACTCCTTGCTACCAGCTGGTGCACTGGCCAGAACATCTGCATTTGCACAAGACAAACATGTCATTAGAGGCCATCCATTTAGTACGTACGCAAAAATTTGTCAAAACTTGACCCTTCCCTGTACGCACGGGTACTTTTTACACCCCCACCTGCGTACGTACGCTTGACGAACTCCCCCCCGAATCCTATAGAACGGCCATAATTTAATCCACGCAGAAACGATAAAGGATTAATAATATTAACGTGTTCTTTGGTTCTTTTGGTAAAGTCACGTAGAATGATAATATTGTGTATTGTGTTACTTTATTATTTTATTATTTTATTCTCATTCTATGTGACTTTACCGAAAGAACCAAAGAAGATGAATCCTTGCAGTCACGAAAGCTTTAAATCGAAAAATATTAACGTGTTTAAGCAAACAGATAGTCCACCACCTATCTAACTCATTTGAACAAATTATTATCGAGGCTTCAGCACCCCCCCCCCACCCCCGTTGCCTATACATACGTACATTGTCAGCAGCAAGCGTACGCATTTGGGTCAACCCCCCTCCCCCTCCATGCATACGTACTAAATGAATGGCCCCTTACTTAACATTCATACACTCTGCTTGTAACCCATGATAATAATGAAACTCTATACGATATACAGTGAGGGAAAAAGGCATTTGATCCCCTGCTGATTTTGTATGTTTGCCCACAAGAAATGATCAGTCTATAATTTTAATGGTAGGTTTATTTGAACAGTGAGAGACAGAATAACAAGAAAATCCAGAAAAACGCATGTCAAAATTGTTATAAATTGATTTGCATTTTAATGAGGGAAATAAGTATTTGACCCCCTCTCAATCAGAAAGATTTCTGGCTCCCAGGTGTCTTTTACACAGGTAACGAGCTAAGAATAGGAGCACACTCTTAAAGGGAGTGCTCCTAATCTCAGCTTGTTACCTGTATAAAAGACACCTGTCCACAGAAGCAATCAATCAATCAGATTCCAAACTCTCCACCATGGCCAAGACCAAAGAGCTCTCCAAGGATGTCAGGGACAAGATTGTAGACTTACACAAGGCTGGAATGGGCTACAAGACCATTGCCAAGCAGCTTGGTGAGAAGGCGACAACAGTTAGTGCGATTATTCGCAAATGGAAGAAACACAAAAGATCTGTCAATCTCCCTCGGCCTGGGGCTCCATGCAAGATCTCACCTCGTGGAGTTGCAATGATCATGAGAACGGTGAGGAATCAGCCCAGAACTACACGGGAGGACCTTGTCAATGATCTCAAGGCAGCTGGGACCACAGTCACCAAGAAAACAATTGGTAACACACTACGCCGTGAAGGACTGAAATCCTGCAGCACCTGCAAGGTCCCCCTGCTCAACAAAGCACATATACATGCCCGTCTGAAGTTTGCCAATGAACATCTGAATGATTCAGAGGACAACTGGGTGAAAGTGTTGTGGTCAGATGAGACCAAAATGGAGCTCTTTGGCATCAACTCAACTCGCCGTGTTTGGAGGAGGAGGAATGCTGCCTATGACCCCAAGAACACCATCCCCAACGTCAAACATGGAGGTGTAAACATTATGCTTTGGGAGTGTTTTTTTGCTAAGGGGACAGGACAACTTCATCGCATCAAAGGGACGATGGACGGTGCCATGTACCGTCAAATCTTGGGTGAGAACCTCCTTCCCTCAGCCAGGGCATTGAAAATGGGTCGTGGATGGGTATTCCAGCATGACAATGACCCAAAACACACGGCCAAGGCAACAAAGGAGTGGCTCAAGAAGAAGCACATTAAGGTCCTGGAGTGGCCTAGTCAGTCTCCAGACCTTAATTCCATAGAAAATCTGTGGAGGGAGCTGAAGGTTCGAGTTGCCAAACGTCAGCCTCGAAACCTTAATGACTTGGAGAAGATCTGCAAAGAGGAGTGGGACAAAAACCCTCCTGAGATGTGTGCAAACCTGGTGGCCAACTACAAGAAACGTCTGACCTCTGTGATTGCCAACAAGGGTTTTGCCAACAAGTACTAAGTCATGTTTTTCAGAGAGGTCAAATACTTATTTCCCTCATTAAAATGCAAATCAATTTATAACATTTTTGACATGCGTTTTTCTGGATTTTTTGTTGTTATTCTGTCTCTCACTGTCCAAATAAACCTACCATTAAAATTATAGACTGATCATTTCTTTGTCAGTGGGCAAACGTACAAAATCAGCAGGGGATCGAATACTTTTTTCCCTCACTGTACACTACTGGAGGCTCCCACTAACAGCTGTGTGACAATAAGAAACAATAAAATAATATCTATTTGGGCTTCACAGCAGTGTTTTATTAAAAAAAATCTTACAGCTCAAACCTAATGCACCATAGCTTAAAATAAATTACTTGTTTATCTCTCAGATTCCACTATTCATACCCAAGAGCTAGATATGACTTAACTGAAAACACATACCAAATTATAATAACAAAAAATGAATCACTGGTGATTTGCCTGGACTACCAAAGCCACGTGCACTTGAGTACCATTACATCTTGAACATAGAATCTGAGCAAACCAGTCACCTACTACAGTGTATGTTGTTTATATATTTAACAAGATGGAAAACCGCAAATTCTTTGGAACACATCGGGGTAAATTTTGATTTAAAGCTTTCGTGACTGCAGTAATTCATATTCTTAGTTCTTTCGGTAAAGTCACGTTGAAGGGAAACAATAAAATATATATTATTAATTATATATTTTTATATTTTATTGTTTCCCTTCAACGTGACTTTACCGAAAGAACTAAGAATATAACACAGGGGGGTGTTTAATCGTGTTGGCCAACAGCCATTACAAATGCTGTTTCCGAGTAGAAATCATTTGTAATATATAATTTTAAAAGATATTTACACTGGAGAGACCCAATGAGACATCAACTTTTCATTATTTTGCAATGTCAGTCTCCCATAAAATTAAAACTTGACTTTGGGAGTTTAAGTTCAGTAAAGACAGTTTGGTCAAATCACATACTTAAAAATCAGGATTCTGCTATTCAACCATTACAATAAAATGTTATTGTTTTCAATGTTTCTGTAATAATAACCGATCAATGATGGCTGTTGTAATATGCGTCGAAAACTATCACGCTAAAATATTGAGAAAAAATATTGATTGAATTCCAACTTCATGGAGTTGTGTTCTATGTTGGCTAAAAAGTTCCAATTGAATTATGTATGGGGATAATTGTTTTTTTCCCCAATGAAGATTGCCAAACCTTGTTTTCAAACTCGCTTAAATATAATTCATGGTGTTCCACTGCCACCTGCTGCCTAAATATAAACACACCTTATAATGTAACCATTTGTGAAGTTTGTAAAGCAGGATAACATTGCTATTTACGGCCACAATTATGCGTGCGAAGAGCATGTGGATTACGAAAACAAAAAAAATCAGACATACTGTATTGACAGGAACTTTGTCTTGAGCAGAAAACTAAGTGAAGGAATGCCAGCCGAAGGCGAGAACGCGCTTAAGAGGATGACGATCACGGAGCTGGATTGATGAAGATGATGATGACCCTCAGTATTCATTTTAAGTGGAACCTTTTGAGATGTGGCTAAGATGTAGGCTACAATGCGCACGTAGCTGAACAGATGGCATGTGGAGGGGCTAGAGTTCCTCCGGTGATGAGTTTACCTCTTGTTCCATTGCATTTTTTTAACCCTGCATTACTTTTATTGACAATACGGGGTAAATACTCTTGGGTTCTTTCGGTAAAGTCACGTAGGTAAAAAAATTAAACAAAAATGAAAACTAAATTCATTTTTGTTTTCTTTTATTTAATTTATTTTTTACCTACGTGACTTTACCGAAAGAACCAAAGAGTATGGATCCTTGCAGTCACGAAAACTTCAAATCTAGAATACGGGGTAATTCGCATTTTTGTGAGCATATTTGTATGCTTCAAATTTGCCAGGGAGATATGCTAGTCAAGTGAAAGGTGTTGCCCAAATAGTAGTAGCAACCAAGTGGGTGACATCTCCGTCGCCAACCTTCGTCCGGTGAGAATCACCACGTTGCCATCGCCAATCCATATAGAACGATCACATTGTACTTCGCACAGGTTGGTACTCATTTTGTAAACCCCTAATAAAGGGATAATAGGTTGAGTCTACCTTCTAATATCACTCCACGGCCGTATTGCAGTAATAAGACGGACATCAATCAGAGATCGAGTTGGCCCACCATCATTTCTACGTAAAGAAAGAGCGGTGGTCTTCTGGTGTTCGGCATGTGGAGTGAACACTGCGTATTGGCTCAGGGCCATGGGTGTCCTGTTAAACATTCATTTGAGCAAATACACCAAATGTTTTGTTTCAATTCGAGCGCATTTGCCACCATTGCTGTCAAAGTCACAACCTTACTGTTACTGCGATTACTGCAGGACCATTGTGCCACGTGTTCCTCATTCGGTCCCCACGATGTATATAATCCTAGAATCTTGCCATGCTTCCTTGCGCGCTTTACAGTTCGTGCTCGCGACATATTAAGATCGCAGAGGTTATCAATGACAGCAGTAACAACAACAAAAAATCGGGCTTGGGCCGGTGGAGACGTCGCGGCTCCTCTCTCTCTCGAGAGAGAGAAGCGTCGATGTCGGCCGAGGGTCGAGAATAATAACGGAACGACAGCGCATACGGCATGGAACGCATCCCACAAGCGGGCACACATTCATCGTGGAGCGATGCGTTCAACTCGCGCACTAACACGGTGATTATTATATCGCTGGATCGTGAGAGATGACGGCGTAGTTGGTTGTGTGTGTGGTGGTGGCGGTGGAGGGTGGGGGGGAAGGTGGGAGGAGAACTTCGTGCAGCAGTGGACTGAGCATGGCTGGTGATGGTGGAGACCTTGGAGCAGTAGGAGCTCCCTGGCCACGTCTCCGTCGGCCGCGTCCGCCACCCGCATGGCCACGTCCAGCACGCGCGCCTCCACGGGGTCCGAGGCGCCCGCCTTTGAACCTTCGCCGTCAGACATTTCTGTTTGAAGTTGATTTTAAAAGAAGAACAAACTTAAAAGAGGATAACAACAACAACGACGACGCCTTGAGCCACCCAAAGAATATGAATTCCTGCAGTCACGAAAGCTTTAAGAAGTCACGATTTAACACGACGCAAATCTTCCAGTCTGGATAAGTCAAGCCGAGCACCACCGGGTTTGATTGGCTCGCGCTTGTCACGTGGGGTTGTTTTAACCAATTACAACGAGAGTTTCGCGCTCCGCCCCTTTGCCAATGCAGACTGCGGAATGTAACCAGGGACCCCACGCGTCACCATGGCGACCGATTAAACCCAGACGCATGCGTGGCAAACGACTCAGTAATTAACTACTGTGCTGTGTATATACAAAGACTCAGTAATTAACTACTGTGCTGTGTATATATACATAAAAAAATGTATTATTCTGCAAGTGCACATGACGAAACAACACGTTTCAAACACGCGCCCATTGAATCGCATCCAATAAAACCGAGTACAATGTTGGATTTGTATGTACTGGAGTGTCTAGTGACCCCCGATGAATTGACCCGTGACTTTTTCCCCCCCTTTGTAATATTCATTTCTGTTTTAAATATAACCTTGTTTTGAAAAAAATATATAAAGTTTTAGAGGATTAAACAGGGGTCACGAGACATTTGGACCACCCTGTACAGTACCTTCCAGAAAACGTCGATACGTGGCCCAAATGTTCCACGTTAGCTGAAACTTTTAATGGATAATGTTCGGCAAACATCTAACATGCGTGGGTCTTTCGGGAGTTATGTGACCATACTTCACCGCGCTGGTCTGTGGGTTGGTGGAAGCGAGGAACAAAGACGTGGGGGCACGTCCAATCTAATGGATGTGGCTGGATTGGCCCTTGCTGATATCGCATGGTGTGTGAATGGTGGTCACCCATCCAAACGATTTCCATTGAAAATGAGTTAACATTAAATACATATGGTCTCGTTTACACTGTTAAATTGTTACAGTTAATTTACGTGCAAGAGTAGGTGAAGTGCATGTATCGCGGTCCATTTACTTCCTGATACAGTACTGTCATTTTTAAATAGATAATAATAAAAATATTTAAAGCTTTCGTCACTGCAGGGATTCATATTCTTGGTTCTTTCGTTAAAGTCACGTAGAAGGAAAACAATAAAATAATAAAAATATAAAACAATAAAATTCTCACGACGTTTCAACTGCAACACAAGCAATCATCATCAGGTGTGAAAACCACAGCAAGAAAATTTGAAAAAAAAGTGGCGGTTTTTTTTAACGTTAGCACCACGGAGAGCGATTTGGCAGTTATTCAGATGGACGAGTCCATCTATGTTCGGCAAAGAGGAGGGGGGAGACGAAAATAATGGATGTGGTCTGAAAGCCACTGTAAGCGTGAACAATTAAGACCCGAAATGGTTTATCAAATCCTTCCAATGATTGCTAAGCCAGAATCCATCTTCTCGGTTGAAATTGTCTCTGTGTTTGTATATGTGGATAGCCTCATGAACGAATCTCTCATGGTAGCCAGATGTCTTGCAGAGAACCTCTGTCTTGGAGAAGTCAATGTCATGTGAGCCTACTGAATTATAACAGTGATCTGCCACGGCCGAGGTGTTGGTCCTATCGTGTTTTAGGTCTGCTTTGTGTTCACGGATGCGGTCCGAGACATGTCGTTTGGTTTCTCCAATGTAACTACTACCACAGAGGTAACTTCGTTTGTAGACGCCAGGGTACTGTATGTCTGGAATCACATCTTTTACAGATGGAACCAGATCACGGATTTTATGTAATGTGTTGAATCGGACATGGATCTTGTGTTTATTCAAGATTTTGGAGATCTTTTTTGTGATCCCCGCAATGTAGGGTAAAGTGATGGTTTTGAAAGGCTCCTCAAAAGGGTCCTTCTTCATGGTTGGAGTGATAGCTTTGCAGATTGTGTAGTCGGAGTAACCATTAGCCTTAAGAGCTTGGTGTACGTGCTTGAGTTCACTGGCTATGTGTTCCTGGTCGGATATGCATTGGGCTCTATGGTGCAGAGTCTTGATGAGGGAATTCTTCTGGGATGGATTGTGGTGGGAATCCGGTTTCAGGTAAGCATCCGTATGGGTAGCTTTCCTGTAGACAGAGTGGCTCATTGAACCATCAGGTCTCTTTTTTGTTAGGACATCAAAAAAAGGTAGCTTGCCATCTTTTTCGACTTCCATGGTAAATCTGATGGCTGGGTGTATGGAATTGATGTGGTTGAGGAATTGGTCTAGAGCAGGCCGGCCATGTGGCCAGATGACAAAAGTGTCATCCACGTACCTCTTCCATAAGGTTGGGCGCAGAGTGGCAGTCTGGATGTAGTGACATCAGGGATGTCACTGTATGGTGCCGGCCTGAGAGGGCCGTGGCATGCGATGCACTGTCATCGCGTACACCCCGTAGGCAGGTGTGGTACCAGCCCTAGCGGGGCTTGGTGAGCGCTGGGATAGCGTGGGCACCACGAATACCGTGCAGTGCGGACTCCCACCAGGGGGAGTGGGAGAGTGACAGCCCAGGGGCAGAGTTGCCCCGGGCCATGGCACTCTGGTTGACCCCGTAGACACGTGATCCGGAGTGGGGGGGGGGGGGGGGCTAGGGGGTGTATACGTGTCCGGGGAGAGCTCTCGAGAGGGATCGAGAGGGAGCTAGAACGCTGGAGAAGGCGGGCGGGTCCAAGGGCGGAGCTGCCCCGACCTGGGGGGGATATAAGGTGGGTCCCTGAGAGGGACCGGGATCGCTGCATTCTACAAGCTGAAGCTCCACGTCTACAAGCTGAAAGCTCTACGTCCTACGAGGCATCAACACGTGATCGGGGACCCGAGTGAGGGTCTGACCCTTCGTAGCTGTAACTCCTACATATAGAGTAGTTAGCTGGGTGGTCACCACCCTAGGCTGTATCTGGTGAAGGGGCAGTTACCTCTTTGTGTTAGCGGGTTGATGTTACAATAAAAGTGTTGCCTCTAAAGAACAACGTCTGCGACTCAGTTGGACTCACTACACATGTATAAACTGTAATTCAAATAACTCTGCATCCAAGTCAGTTTAACACGTAGGCTTTCGTGACCATTATCCATGATAAATGTTTTTGGGTTAGATCGCGTTAATATCAATGTGTAGTTAAACCCGCTACCACCCGATACAGCAAATTAGTAAGGTTTATCATGTAAACAAAACTTGCCAGTTAGTTACTACATCAGCACACCGGTGTGTTGGAGAGTAAACCCAAGACTCTTTGGTTCTTTCGGTAAAGTCACGTAGGTAGAAATAAAATAAAACATGACGTTTTAATCGCAACACAAGCGAACTTCATCAGGTGGGACAATCACAGCAAGAAAATGCTGAATTGCGGTAGGGGGAGCCCCCTCTCTCTCTCTCTCTCCCCCCCCTTGCCTCCTCCCCCCTCTCTTACTTATATAGCCTCTTGCCACAGCAGCTCTCCCACCGACTTCAGCATTTTCTTGCTGTGGTTGTCCCACCTGATGAAGTTCGCTTGTGTTGCGATCAAAACGTCATTTGTTTTATTTTATTTTAACCTACGTGACTTTACCGAAAGAACCAAAGAGTATGGATTCCTGCAGTCACGAAAGCTTCTAATCAAGATTAAACCCACGACATTTAAACCTTACTAATTGGCTATGTTGGGTGGTTTAACGAAACATGTATATTTCAGCAATCTACTGTAACACAAAAACAATTATCTATATAAGTATCTGTATATATAGCCTATACTTAATGTGAAGTCACCATCATGAGCCATGATCTTTCCACCACTGGATTGGTCTCCCCAGGTCATAGTATTTCACTATTTCACCAAACAGTTGTACACCTTGGCTGCAACTCCGTGGAGTATGTTATTTTGTCTTTAGGCACGTTGGAACCAAATATTGATTTTTCATTACTGAAGTTCAGTTTTACAAAAGAACTCAAAACCTCTTGCATGCATGATATTAATCAAAGCCTCCTTCAGTAACTTATCTAGGCACACGTGTAGTGGAGTAAACAATACACAAAGGAATTGGCCACATACAGTACATACAGACAAGGAGAACGGGTCACATGAGGTTGAACAGGTGGTCGAGTCACAGGTGGCGTAAACAACCCGAAGTAATTAAGGGAGTCGTGGCATGAGGGCTGTGATTGGTCGAGAGGCTGTTAGTGTTAAGTGGTGGCATCTCGATGTCTGACGGAGGGGACAGGTGCGAGCTGGCGGAAAACGGCCAGCGAGCCACGTGGCAATTAATTAAGGCTAATGCGAAAGGGGATAAAACGCGAGGTGATTTGAACGGAGGGGGAGTTGTTGCTGGGCAGTTGTTGGCGAGAGGTGGAGAGACGCGAAGAGGACAGCTGGCAATGTTAGGGAAGAATAGATAGAGAGCCGAACCCCAAAGACAGTAAATAGTGATAGGGAGAGTTAGCGTTAGCGGAGATAGATAGAGTCACTGTGTGTGAATAGATAGATGGAGTCACTGTGTGTGAATAGATAGAAGAAGAACCACTGTGTGTGGAAGGGAAGTCACTGCGTGTGAAGAGATAGCGGCGATACTGTGTGTGAGGAGATAGAAGACGAACCACTGTTTGTGGAAGGGAAGACACTGTGTGTGAAGAGATAGAGGAAGAAACACTGTGTGTGGAAGGGGATGCACAGACGATGCTGAAGTAAATCGGAGTGTCCGAGTTGGCGGAGCATGGAGAGAATTACTGTGTGTACGGAACGATGGAATGAAAGTGACGGCGGAAAAAGAGACGGTTGTCGTCCGAGTGAATTCACGGCACTACATTTGGTGTCAGAAAAAGTACGGAACATGCCACGATGTCAAAGAAAGCGGCAAAGAAAAGAAATGTGCCAGTGGACTCGGGCGGCAACAGCGACAACGACGATTTGCAGCCCGGCCAGATGGCCGGCAGTACTCCGGACGGTGACAGCGGTTCGGGTGGTGCTGAAGGGCCGGGATCGCCGGAGGATTGGCGAGTCCTCATGACCCAGTGGGAGGCCAGAATGGAGAAGTTGTCGGAGGAATTCCAGAACTTCTTGACGGAGAACCGCATTCAACTACCCGTACCGGGTCCACCGCCGGAGGTTGCCGCTCAGCCGGAGCGGTTGGAAGATTCCGACGACGAAGACGACCAGTCGGAGGGACCGTCACGACGGCTACACGTACAACGATTT